GAATTGGTATATATCTTGTTATGACAATCGTATTGTTCCATTGCTTTGCCGAAAGTTAAATCTTGAGGAATTAACATTATTTCTTTCAGTAATAAGAACTGAATCAACTTGTATTGATGGTACTCAATTCTATAATGATTTCATCATGTGTATGTCATAACTAAAGATATTTAATTTCAATATACATGCTAATATTTTCAACAATGACATTGATATTGATCTTCCATCGAAGAATGATATTCTCAATAGTTTCATCCAAAAAAGGATTGAAACAAGTAAATTCATATGCTGATGATCAGCTCACGAACAACTGGAATTGCTGTCTTGTCTATTCACTTCTGTATCACTTCAATGGTTTTTTATTTATGACAAATCGTTTTCAAGGTGGCATGTTTAATAAAGTTCGATGATTAGTACTGGATGATGGATGTACGTTTGAAAATGAATTATTTAAAATCATTTCACATGATTTTCCATTTCTCGAAAGTCTATCAGTTATTAATCGAGTATCGAAAAAAAAAAGGAACATTCGTCTACATTTATCACATTTCTTCATCTATTGAGACTTGATTTCGTATTGGCACATACTGATAATGTCATACAATTTCTCTTCGAAAAAAAAACACTCTTTTACCTCGTTTGATGTAACTCGATATTGAATACGAAACATAAGGGACTATAACAGAAGATTTTACTACTGATGGAGTACGACACACTTACGCTCAAATAGATCTCATGTAATTCAAGAGCCATTTGGTCGTCCAGAAAATTTTTTTCTCATATTTTTCTTTGTTGTAAATATTAATATTGTAAACATTGTTTCAATAAAAAAAAAAAGGTGCTTTGAGAAAGATAAATATATTTCACTCTTAATAATTAACAAATTACTCTAGGCAGAAATTATTGATTGCGTAGAAAAGGATTTTACATCAAATATTAAGAAACTTTGATAAATGTGTGTGTTGAATTTTAATGAGAACACTACAGCCCTGGCAAAAAATTCTGGAACACTCAAAAAGACTTCCCTAAAATCTCAATACCTATTCGAATTAAACTTCACATATGTGACAAATATGCTTGTCGATTAAGCTTTGATATTATCATATACAAACGCAAAACTTATGCTTTTATTATAAAGAAACCAAGAGAACAAAAATTGTCCGCAGATAAAACGTTCAGGGACACAGTAGCTGACCAAAAGTATCCACCTCATGTTTCAGTCATTATAAGGTATATAAGGCTGAAAATTTGTGTACATATACTGCATGACATATGTAGATCGGTAACACGAATCCAACCTTTATAGATTGAGTTAGAGAGGAGTTATGATGAACAGGAGCTCATCCTATTGCCACCCTTATAACTCAAAAATAGAAGCTCATTATGAGTCAGAGAACCAACCAATATGTAGCCCTTGTAAGTAACTATCTGAAGTAGAAATTTCCTGAATATTCATCGAGTTATTCGCAAACTGCGACCATAGAGGTCAGTGGCGTACGCAGAAATTTTTCAAGGGGGGGCCCAACTTCGTAGGGGGGGGCCGGCCATGGCACAAAAAATTTTTTATCATGTGAAAATATTTTTTCCTGTACCCCCCTCCAGGACTTTTTCGTCTCAAGGGGGGGGCCCGGGCCCCCTCGGCCCCCCCTGCGTACGCCACTGATAGAGGTTGTCCTAGAATTTCTCAACTAATTTTGAAAATACATTGTTCTCTCATGTAGTAAGAGCAAAGTCTTTGAAACTTCGAAAGATTTTCGGACAAGCTTAGTACTATTTAACTACAAAGTTTCAGCCTATAACTTTTACTCTAGAAGAGAGTCTTGAAGAACAATATCATAGCCTATTGTTTTTTTCGTTTTTTCAAAGGAGAAAATACTGAAAATTTCGTAGTTCAGTATATTTTAAGGATATGTATGATACAGTTTCGTATGGATGAGTGTGGGTGTCTGATAATTCTTTATTTATACCCACACTCACCCAAATAGTTTCGAAAAAAGATTTGTCCTGATTCATTTAGAAAATCAAGTGCGATGAGTCGTGAATCTATGGGTAGTTTATTTATAATTTTCACAGTTATTACTTTTCTATCATCGTTACTTTTCCTATGGTCAAATAGACTTATTTTTAAGAATTATTTATAGAGTTTAATGCATCAAAAGCGTGTATTATTTCGAAAGAAAGTCACATTGATATAAAACTCAAATGGAACATCGAATAATGTGCAAAATTCTATTTTGTCGTCACCTGCTACCATATAGGCTTGATCTTTTATCAGAAAAATTTATATTCGTTTCATTTTACGTGCTAAGTTTGCATTTGCTGTAGCATATACTGGTACGTGCAATTATTTAGTTGATGTATCAAAATAAAATATATACCTTAAACGCACCTTTTTATTCAAAATATAATGTCAAGAATTCAGAAGAAAAAAATGAGTCATTTTTTAAATGTCATAGATTATAGAATCATTATTTCTGCAATGAATGGCAGGATGAATAAGAGTGTAGAAATGGTGAATATGGATGCGATGCTTTTCTGTTGAATTTCAAGTACAGGTTCATATGCTGATGTTAAGTTATAGGTTGTATCTTATGCACTAACTTTCACAAGAACTCGACTGTTAACAGCAGTGCCTTTCGGTACGGTTCACTGAAACTGACCTGTGATTTCGTCCAAGGTTGCTTCATCCGGACCACGTAGAAGTTTGTAAATAATACTTGAGCTGAATTCACTAGTAGCTTGAAACGATATTTCTACTAGCTGACCAATAAAAACTATTCGTGTTAGAGGAAGTTGAGAATTGAATTGAGGTGGATTACGTATGGCTTCTCGTTGTTCAGTTTGTTGCTATGCAGCTTGACGTGAGACAAGGCCAAAATCAATATCTCCGATGACAGCACTGTCGTAATAGCAAGTTCTTTGAACTGGAGACCATTCAGATGAGCTAGTAGCGTTCATCGGAATGTTACAAGCTTCACGAGCATCCGATTCTAGTGATCCAGCAACAGGTTCAACGAATCGCGGACGATAACGCTGATTTTGATATGCATAGAATGATGCATTGTCATTCGATTCATAATAGAGCAGTGAACGTGTTGGATCGATATCCCAAGACATGCTGTATAGCTTTAGAATAAATCAACATGAATTCGGTATGGGTGTGGGTGTGGGTGTCAGTGGGTGAGGGTGTGAGTGGGTGAGGGCGTGAGTGGGTGAGGGTGTGAGTGGGTGAGGGTGTGAGTGGGTGAGGG